TCTGTGAATTCAAGGCCAGCCTGATCTACAGAGCAAGATCCAGGAGAGGCACCAAAACTACACAGGGAAACCCTGTCTCAAAAAACAAATAAACAAAAAATATTGGTAGCTTGGCGTGTGTGTGTGTGTGTGTGTGTGTGTGTGTGTGTGTGTGTGTGTGTATGTATACATAATGAACTTGCTGAGAAGGAAATCAGAAAATAAATAGCTTCAAAAAAGCAAATACTCAGTAAGAAATCTAACTAAGAAGGTTGTAGTGGGTAGCCATTCCAACCTTGATCTGGAAGTTCCAACCCCCATTGAGGCTTCGGTAACTGTCATGCCTACAAGGCGGGGCCAAGAGAGGACCCTGAAGACCTGAGGTAGACCGAGCAGAGTTCTCCAGAGAACACCGCTGGACTGTGACACACTTTCCCAGACCCTGCAACCCACCTATCCCTTCACTTGTAAGTTATGTCACTAAATAAACTTCCCTTTTAACTATGTGGAGTGGCCTTAATAATTTCACCAATAGAAGATTGCAGTGATTTGAAAGAAAAATGTCCCCATAGGAACACTAGGTCCCTACTTGGCACTGTTTGGAGAAGTTATGAAACCTTGATGGAGGAAGCATGTTACTGGGACAGGTTTTGCCTCCCTTCCAGTTCATTCCTTCTGCTTCCTGTGTGTGGTCTTCTGGCTTCTGGATCTGCCGCCATGCTTCTCAACTGCGATGGACTCCAACCCTCTGGAACCAAAGGACAAAATAAAACTCCTTGCCTGCGTTCTTTTCAGTCACAGTGATTTTGTCACAAGACAAAAGTAACTAATGCAAAGGTGAAAGGCCTCTACAATTAAAATGGAAGCAGAAAGTAAATAAGATTCTAGAAGATGGAAAAGCCTTCCACGGTCACGGATCAGCAGAAGTGATACTGTGAAATGGCTATAGTCCCAAAAGTTATCTGTAGATTCAACACCATCTGCATCAAAATTCCAATAGCATTCTTTAAAGAACGACAAAAAAAAACAACCCTGAAATTCACATGGAAGCACAAAGGACCCAGAATGGCCAAAGCAACCTTTGTTTGTTTGAGACAGGGTCTCATTATGAGGCCTTGGCTGGACTGCAGCTCACTGTGTTGGTCAGGCTGGCCTCTGCCTTCTGAGTGCTGGGATTAAAGTTATACAGCACCACAACTAGCATCCAAAGCCATCTTAAGCAGAAAGAGCAATACTAGAAATATCATAATATTTGATCTCAAATTATACTCTGTAGCCATAGTAACAAAAACAGACACTGGCATAAAAAAGACATGTGGATCGCTGGGATAGAACAGAGGAGTCAGAAGTAAACCCACACAGCTACAGCCACCTAATTTTTCACCAAGCTGTCAAAAACATAAATTAGAAAAAAGACGCCCCTTTCAGCATATGGTGTTGGGAAAAGTGAAGATTCAACTGTAAAATGAATTTAGACACTTGTCTCACTCTGCACAAAAATCAACTCAAATGGACTAAAGACCCAACACTGAAAATTCTAAAGGAAAACAGCCAAGGATTTCCAAAACAGGATTCCAACAGGATGGGAAAAAGCAGTAGTTAAGAGAGTGAGATTAAAATCTTTGCCAAATATATTCAGATAGGGGACCAATATTAGGAGGTAAAAAGAACTACAAGAATCAAACATGAAAAGAACGGGATGAACCGGGTGGTGGTGGCAGCGGTGCACGACTTCAGTCCCAGGTCTTGGGAGGCAGAGGCAGGTGGATCTCTGAGTTCAAGGTCAGCCTGGTCTACAGAGCAAGCTCTAGGACAGCCAGGGCTTCACAGAGAAACTCTGTCTCAACAAAAAAAATAAAGAAAAAAAAATTAAAAGAAGAAAGGGATGGGATGTAGCTCAGTTGTCTGGTTAAGGTTGGCTATGGTGGCATTGTAAGGCCAGTACTGGGAAGAAGAGGACCAGAAGTTCAAGGCGATTACTGGCTACAAAGCAAGCTCAAGGCCAGCTTGCCCTACATGAGACTCTGTCTCAACAGCAACAACCAAACAAACCACATCACCAAAAAACCCAAATCATACTACCAATAAATAGGCTAATGAATTGGACAGGATGAAATACAAATGTCCAAAAAATACTTTAAAAAGTAGTAAACGTTATGAGTCATCAACAAAACAAAAAAACAAACAAAAACAAAACAAAAATCATACCAAGTCAGAATGTCTATCATCAAGAAAAGAAATTAAAATTGTGAGTTCAAAGACAGCCTGATCTGCATACCCAGTTCTAGGCCAGACAAGGCTATATAGCAAGGATCCTGTCTAAAAAAAGAAAAGAACAGGCTGGGCAGCAGTGGCTCATGCCTTTAATCCCAGAGCTTGGGAGGCAGAGCCAGGCAGATCTCTCTGAGTTCGAGGCCAGCCTGGTCTACAGAGCGAGATCCAGGACAGGCTCCAAAACTATACAAAGAAACCTTGTCTCGAAAAACAAGAAAGAGAGAGAGAGAGAGAGAGAGAGAGAGAGAGAGAGAGAGAGAGAGAGAGAGAGAGAGAGAGAGAGAAAGAACAAAAGAAAGAAAACAAATGACAACAAAAACTGAGAATGTCAGAAAAAAAAGCACTCTACACTGTTGATGGAGATGTAAACTGGTACAGTCACTAAGGAAGCTAGTGTGGAAGTCCCTCAGAAAACTACTCCATGACCTGCTGCACTATTTGAGTACACCCAAAGGGGGTCTAAGTCCACATACTAGAGAGATCTATTCACACTCATGCTTACAACAGCACTGTTCCTAACAGCTAAAAAGTAGAAATCGTCTAGATGTCCATTAATGGATGAATGGATAAAATAGGTAGTACATAAACACAATGGAATTTTGAAGAGATTTTATTTTACACACGTAGGTGTTTTGCTTGCTTGTATGTTTGTGCAGTACATGGAAGCCAGAAGAGGGTGTCAGATCCCTGAACTGGAGTTACATGGACAGTCGTGAGCTGCCATGTGGGTGCTGGGAACTGGACTCAGGTCCTCTGCAAGAGGAGCTAGTGCTCTTAACTGCTGAGCCACCTCTCCAAGCCCCTATACAATGGAATCTTATTCAGTTATGCAGAAAAATTAAACTGACATTTGCAGGAAAATGGATACAGCTGTGGATTACGGTAAAGAGAAAAATGTAGGCAAATACCATATTTTTTGTTCATTATGCAGAATCTAGATTTAAATGACTATGTATTTATATATATGTGGACCATAAGAAGCGAGCTTACAGAAGGGGAACAAAGAAAGGATGATGGAATATGTGGTATGAAAGCAGAGGGGTGGCTCAGGGAAGCTGGGATAGCAGTGGGGGAGGAAGAGGAAACAAAGTACCATGAAGTATATGTATGAAAACTCCATAATGAAACCCCTTCATTTGTATGCTAAGGCAAAGCAGTTTATTTTTTAAAAAGCAATTAAAAATTAAAAATTACCAAATGTGCCATAAAACAATTAAAATCTGAGAAAAACAGAACAAGGAATATGCTCACTTGGTGTGCAGAATCTAAAAGATGAGATTACTCACAACTCACCTTTGCCAAAAGGTAAGAGGGCCATCGTCACAGAGTAATCAGTACAGAGAACAGGCAGGGGAATTGGATTTTTTTTAAAGCATATGCTTTCTTCTTGGTGTATGTGTGTGTTGAGACAGGGTCTCATTATGTAGTCCTGGCTGGCCTAGAACCTGTTACATAGACCAAGGTGGCTTGGAACTCACAGAGATCTGCCTCCCAGGCATCAGGATTACAGGCATGTACCACTATGCCCAGTTGCTTTCATCTTTTGACTGGGCTAAGAGCAATGGACCAAGAGGTGGAAGAAAGGTTGCGTGGAGGAACACGGGCTGATGGCTCAGGACTGGTGGGGCCAGCCTAGTTTATCTTCCACCCAACGTGGACAAGCGAGCCTCACAGAGCTATCACATAGCTTGGCAGGCAGGCTAACTTTTGCCCAGTGATGTGCACTGCTAACTCATGGTTTCCTTTGTGGCCTTGTTAATATAATAATTTCAATAACTGAGTTCTCAGTGTAATTAAAAAATTATGGCTATGCATTCGAGATGACTCAGTAGGCTGAAAAGTATTTGTCAGCAAGCCTGATGACCTGAGTTCTATTCCCAGGACCCACAGGATGGGAGGAGACAACTAACTCCATACTTGAGCCTTTGGACAAACACACATACACAAACACAATTAAATAAATAAATATTTAAAAAATAGGGGCTGGAGAGATGGCTCAGAGGTTAAGTACACTGACTGTTCTTCCAGAGGTCCTGAGTTCAATTCCCAGCAACCACATGGTGGCTCACAACCACCTGTAATGAGATCTGGTGCCCTCTTCTGGCCTGCAGGGACACATGCAAACAGAACACTGTATACATAATAAGTAAATAAATCTTTAAATAAAAAAAAAAAATAAATAAACTGTAAAAAATATATTTTGGTGCTGGAGAGATGTTTCCATGCTTAAGAACACTGACTGCTTTTCTAGAGGACCTGGGTTTGAGCCTTAGCACCCGATGGAGGCTCACAACCCTTTCTAAGTCTAGTTTCATGGGATCCAAATACCCTTTTCAGGCTTCTGGAGGCACTGAACACACATGGTGCACACACGTACATGTAGGCAAAACATCTATACACACAAAATAAATAACTAAAATAAAAAAAGAACTGATTATACTACTTTTACATCCATTATTTATAAATGTAAATGATGCATCTTTTAGTTGCTTTGGGAATAGGTGTAATTAGTTCCTGAGAAAATGTATGATGGGACCACACAAATTTGTATATCACTTAAATCAATTAGCCCCAATAACTCAAATGTAAGCAATATGGTAATTGCTACTTGTCATCCTCACATACAAACAAGAATACATAAGCTACCTATAACAATGTAATAAATCTTGTAAAAATACTATTTATCTTTTTCTATGACTGTAATTGTATAGTACTTTTAGAAGTAAAAAATATCGACTGTCTAGAAATAGTTCTAAGTAACAGAGAATTTTATTTTCAAATTTTGATCAAAGAAAAAGAAAATAAAACAAACAAAAAAATACCCAAGTCAGGAGAGTCCCATATACACAGAAGACATGAACGGTATTCCAGGAGAGTCACATATACACAGAAGACGTGAACAGTATTCCAGGAGAGTCACACATACACAGAAGACATGAACAGTATTCCAGGAGAGTCACACATACACAGAAGACGTGAACAGTATTCCAGGAGAGTCACACATACACAGAAGACATGAACAGTATTCCAGGAGAGTCACATATACACAGAAGACGTGAACAGTATTCCAGGAGAGTCACATATACACAGATGCGAACAGTATTGATTAGTTTTAGTTGAGTCCATCCTATTTATACATTTAAAATACAAAAGGCATTCAATTTGTGAAGAAGCTGACTGCACGTAGCACCAGAAGGAACTGTACTTTAGCTTTTGATCAAGATTTCAGCATCCTGAACCAGAAAAGAAAGTCCATGACATCCACATGTACTATTGCAATCCCTGCATCACCAACTGAAGGGCAGAGCTACTTGATGCTGCGGACTACTCTCCGGCAGTGGTTTGTTTTCATTTCCTCCAATGCTTGCTCCAGTTGCTGAACCAAATGAAGCAGGGTGGCTGGGTCTGTCTGCAAAAGATGGGTGCTGTGGTCGCCATTCTGATCGAGGTGCAGCTTTATAGTCACTGCTGGCTTAATTTGTTGCCGGAGACTTCTGCTTGCAAGCTTGGAAACACAAAAAGAGTACAGTAACTGTTTAATAATTATGCTGCAAAGGTAACTTTTAAAATTATATTATACCATGTAAAAAATAAAATTTGAGATGAATCACTAACTTGAAAATAAAAAGCAAACTTTAAAACCTTTGGACAGAAATAATTTGAGAATGTAAATGAAACCTTATGGTACGAAAAAATTCCTTAAACAGTTCTAGGCCAGCCAATGCTGCACAGTGAGACCCTGTCTCAAAGACCCAAAATATAAATAAATTCATTCATTCAGTAAATTAAATAAAAAATAAAGCAGAGGTTGGTAATTTTTTCTTTTCTTTTTTTTTTTTTTAAGTCAGACAAGTATTCTAGGCTGTGCACACCATATAGTTTCAGGCACAATGACTCGATTCTGCCCTTGTATTTTAAGAGCAGTTATTAAATGCAAACAAACATGGCTACACCTACCAAAACTTTACAGAAATAAGTAGCAAGTCAGATGTGGTTCATAGGACACAGTTTGCTGAGTCCTAATTCTGCAATTTAAGGCAGATAGTGGTGGCCAACACCTTTAAACCCAGCACTTGGGAGGCAGAGCTAGGTGGATCTCTGAGTTCAAGGCCAGTATAGTCTACAGAGTGAGTTCCAGAACAGTTGGGCTACACAGAGAAACCCTGCCCCCGCACCCCCCCAAAAAACAAATAAATGAATGAATAAATAAATAAATAAACTTCAATTTAAAGAGCTAAGAAAATAGAGTAAAGAGATAATAGTGAGACAAAAATGGCATATCATATAGAAAGGGGAAAAATGATTATAAAGGCATATACTCTTTATACTTCTAAATTCCCACTTTAGTTCTGACTCATCCAAGGATGCCAAATTAATTTTCTTAAATAATTGCTTCAACGTTACATGTTTATCAAGGAATCTACATGGGCTTCCTATTGTCTTCTATGTTACATTTAAACTCTTACCAAATTTTTTTTACTACCTTACAGCCCTACAGATGAGTGTCGCTTCAATCACATGTGTACACAGCTAAAATTGAGTTAAAAGAAAAATCGGCGTCATATCTTAGGATGCTGGTTACCTCTGGAAAGGAAAGAAGGAGCAATTACTGGTAAGAGGTAAGAAAGGTGTCTCTGGGGTGCTGGTCATGGTCACGCCCATTTTATGAGTATGTGATTATGTGATAACTTATTGAGTACAGTGGCTTGTACACTTTCCTTTGTGTGTGTTGTGTTTACAGAGAAAAAAAAATTTTTTTTAAACTAAGCATTGCCAAAAAACAGAATACAAACAAATAAACAAAACCTGTTTTAAATCATCTTTTTTTTTTTTTTAAATGATTTCTTAAAAACTGCAAATTAGGGTCTCTGGGACGGTTCCATGGGTTAAGGCCCTTGCTGCTATGCCTCACAACCTGAGTTCAATCCCTCAGGACAAACTCCCCAAAGTTGTCCTTGACCTCTACACAAGTGCCATACACTAAATAAATACCTGTAGAAAAACAAATTAAAAACCTCTGCAAATTAAACTTAGAAATAAAGGAAATGAGCTATTTGTGAAATGACCCAAAGATGACCATTAAAATATATACATTTTCTCAAGCCAGAGCTTGGTTAAGCAGGTAAATAACAGAGCATATAAATAGTTCTTATCACCTATATCAGATTTAAAAACAACAACAAAAAAAGCCATACTTGCACATCTAGCCGCCATTCAAGACTATGGTAACTGGGAAGACGAGGTGCCAATTCATTCAGAATAGTCCTGATCTCCTTTCTGTTGTCCAGGTAAAGCTGAAGCAATAATCTGTTCAGCTCTTCAGAGAATCCCAGAACAAAAACAGAGTCTTGGAAATCCAGTTCAGAAATCTAAAGATAAATTGAGTTCAATAGAACACTGGAACTTATCTTTGTTTAGTAAATACTAAAACATTTCTAAACACAAAAGTACATTACAGCCTATAATTCACTTCTGTCTATAACATTCCTTACACTTAAAGACAATCATTGCTCACCATTCCAAAATTCAAGTTACTAACATACAAAATAACCTTATTAAAATAGAAAAAGAATTAGGATGCCCAATTTTATTTACTATTTTTCCATCAAGCCCGATACAATTGCTAATCCATAAAGAAATGCAATATTTCATTCTCCCCTCTCCTAGGATACACATATGATGGCGTGTGATACAGAATTAGAGACAATTATAATTTATACTAGCAAGAGGTATTCAGATTAGATAATGCCCTTAACACTTACCGTTTAGGTATACTGCACAAATTAGATTATGAGTTACTAGTTTATAACAGGTGCCTGTTTGAAAGAATCTGGGTAATATACAGTTCTCAGAAGCCTTACCATGAGCTTCGAGCTCTCAGTGAGGAGATAAGTTAATCCTTCCACACCATGCTGGATACTGTCACTACTCACATTAAGTTTTCCTAAGGAAAAAAGAAAGAAAAATGAACAGATTATCCTTTTGTTTAAAAAGAAACACGTTCAATTACCCTTAGTTTTCAAACAGTACAATGAAAGCGGGTTAAGTGGAGATTCCAGTTCCTTCTCAACCCACCCCACTAACAGTTGCCTTCAATATTTCTCTCCAACCAACCATAACAAAACACAGACCTGTGAACAGAGACACAAAGTCCCTACAAGCCAGGCAGAAGAGGAACTCAACAAGGATGTTCTTAATCACACCACCACCCTCCTCTAGCTTTCGTAAAAGCGGCTTCTAGGCAGCAAATACTAACGGAACATTTGAATGCTGTTCTCGGCTAATCTAAGAGTTCCACTTCTTCAGCACACAGTATTTACTAAGCACCACAGTGCTTTTCATCTGAAAGGCAGGGGGTGCTGTATTCATTTTAAATATGAAGGCACTTATTTCACACAAGCTTTAAAATCTCAGTTACTTGCAGAGTTTGCGCCCTGATTGACAGCTATGCAGAATCGGCTGCAATGGGTACAAGACCCTAGGACTTGCAGAGGTCCCTGCCGGGCTGATCGAAAGAGAATGGATAGCACTTTCCAGCTCGACAGGCAGAGCCTGTCTCCCCCTTTCTTACTGGCGGCGCCTTCGTAGATCTTCGGGTTAGATCCCCGTCTGAGGAACTCCACAGCGATTCTTCCGAACTCGGCTACCACTGCAACGGAAGTCAGCAGGCCGTGAGTGCCGGGCTGTCCCCGGGACTGTCCCCGCCGCAAGCACCCCGCACTCCCTCACCTGCGCTGTCCACTTGCGGTAGGAAGGCCAGGTGCTCCTTATGCTCCTCCGACAAGTCGAGCAGCATCTTGGCAGGTCTCCCGACTCCACCATGCAGCGCCGGCCCCGCCCTCGCCACTTCCTGCCGCTGTGCAACAAAAAGAAGCTCCGGCGCCGCTGCACTGCCCGTGCTTTAGGTTCCGGTCTCTGGCGGTCCGACGAGCCTTAAATCCCAGGGCTCACACGGTAAAAGTTGAGGTGGGGCGCGGGCGAGAGGAGTTGAAGGCACAAGTCTTCCATTCATAAATCATCCTGCAAACGTGTACTGTGTGGGGCTAGAGAGGTGGCTCAATGGTTAAGAGCACTTGTTGCTCTTGCAGAGGACCCAGGTTCAGTTCCCCGTGTCTCACACCATCACTAGCTCTACTTGTAGGGGATACAACACCCTCTTCTGAATTCCATGAGCACCGTGCACGTGCGTGGTGTACGTATACACATCATATACATCTAAGCAAGACACTTATACACACAAAATATTTTTTTAAGTGTAATACTAGTGCTCAGCTCTAGGCTCTATGGCATCAGCCTGCTTGTGGAGTGTAGGTTAATAATATCAATAACCAACATTTGTTAATCAGTGTCAGAAATGTTTTTATGTTAAACTCACACTTCATAAGAAACTTGTTATGTGGGTCCATTACCACTTTCATTGAATATAAGGAAACAATGAAGTGAAGCAACAGAGACTTTGTTCGTTTGCACACAACTTTTGTATTTTTTTAAAATCTCATTTAGTAGTTTCAATAGCCATGGCTTCCCTTTTAAAAATGAATAAACCAAGTCAGAATATAATATGTCAAAACTTAAAGGAGATTGTTAGGGGCCTCACCTATCTTCTCCGAGCCACATCCTTCTGCTCACTGGGCTGGATGTTTAAATTTCGTAACATTTGCCGGGCGGTGGTGGCCCACACCTCTAATCCCAGCACTCGGGAGGAAGAGCCAGGTGGATCTCTGTGAGTTCGAGGCCAGCCTGGTCTACAGAGCGAGATCGAGGACCGGCACCAAAACAACACAAAGAAACCCTGTCTCGAAAAACAAAAACAAACAAAATTCGTAACATTTAACATATATGTGTTAATATATTATAATGTACATACAATAATTATTATCATTACATGTGCATATGATGTATGTGAGTCCAGGAGTGTGAAGGTCAGAGGACAACCTTCGGCAATGGTGTCTCTTCTTCCACTGTGGTACCACAGGATGGAACTCGGGTCATCAAGCTTGCCATATCCCTGGCAACTATGATTGTTTGGCATGTTTTTGTTTTGTTTTTTTTTGCGGGGTGGGGGGGGGGGTGGGGGGAGGTTCTGAGGATCAAACCCAGGGTTTTCTTCATGCTAAATATGTACTCTACCACTAATTATATCTTCAGCCCTGTATAAAGTTTTATGTATGGATCTAAATTTTGATGAAGATGATGATACTGGTGACAATAACAGATGTTTGCACAATTCAGAGCAACACTATTATTTTTATCTTTTGGTGATGTGTGAGAATTTGATCACCTTTTGCTTTGTCTCATATATAAGAGACGATAGAATGACAATTAATAGTGACCCTCCAAATCTTTCTACTATGGTAGGAGGAAAGAAAAGGAGAGAAAAACAGAGGGAAGGAGAGAAAGAGATCGGGGAGAGAGAATTCATTTCTGTCCTTTTATCTAGGAGTCTAGGGATTTAATCCAGGACCTCTTAAATGCTTTTCTTCATCCTCAACTAGAAACAGCTTTTTCTATAATTGGTCATCCAGACAGAAGTGAAAAATAATTTTTATAGCTTCTTTGTTTCTGCCATATCCTTCACATCTAATTACAACTGTTTACTCCACTGATGTCTCTGAGAGACAAATGGGGAGGACCCACCACTCTTTGGTGGTCAGATGTTAAGAATTGTTAAAGTGCTGTTAAAGCCATTATTAATATTAATGATAAAATGTTTAAGTTCTTGCAAGAAAGCCTTCTGGTGTTCATTGTTCAGTAATAAGCAGAAACATCGGGGAATGGGAAGTTTGACTTCCTAGCCGGCAGCTGTTAGTCTATCTATCCCTTTCTGTTCTATACGCCTTGAACAAAAGGACTGCCAGTCAGTCAGCCAGCTGTACTAGTCTTACACAGTCACTGACTGCTTTGTACACTCCACAAACACCTTGAGGAAACCACATAGTGAGCACAGGTGTTTGCGCTGGTTTCGGAAGGGGCAGCCTTAACCAGAGTGGTTTAAAACACTTTGTATAAGACTTTGTGTTATCACAAGCCTTTGTGAAGCCAAAGTGAGCCTGTAACTATTTCTACTTAGGTGAGAAGGGGAGCGCGCCCCCTGGTGGCCCAGCCCAAGGGAAACCGCTGAGCAAACATGCCTTCATTTATGTGTGAGATTTTGCTGCGATTGGTGCAAACACCATTTCTTTGGATGTAGAAGCTGGCTGCTCAGTTGGTGAGCTGGCAGGGGCAGATCCCCCTGCACTGCATCCCTTTGCTGCTGCAACTTCAGACCCAATAAAATCCCTCCAATGGTGGTTTCCTGCCCACTTCTAGAAGCCGATCCAGTGAAGCAGCAGCAATGGTAAAAGCAACAAAGTGGCAACACCTGCAACAGCTGGGCAGCCAGCACATCAAGCCACAGAAGTGACTGAGCAGTCTGATGATCGACAGCCGAGGAGGGAGAGCTGAGAGGCAAGAATGGTAAAATGGCTGGTTTCCTAACAGCTGAAGAGGGAGCCGGGCAGTGGTGGCGCACGCCTTTAATCCCAGCACTCGGGAGGCAGAGACAGGAGGATCTCTGTGAGTTCGAGGCCAGCCTGGTCTCCAAAGCGAGTTCCAGGAAAGGCGCAAAGCTACCCTGTCTCGAAAAACAAAACAAACAAACAAACAAAAACCTGAAGAGGGATAGAAGAGTGTAAAGAACCAAACAGAATGGCTGAGTGAGATGGCTCAGTAGGTAAAAGGTGCTTGCAACGAAGGCTGAAGACCAGAGTTCAATCCCTGTGACCCACATGGTAGAAAACTGACTCCTATAAGTTCTTCTCTGACATCTCAAAGCACACTGTGGCACATGTGTTCACACACACATAAACACACTCTCCCCCCCCCTTTTCAGCTCTCCTAATGTAATAAAAATTATTTTTAAAAAGAACCAAAGGGTAGCTGCAGGCCCTGGTTGCTGAAAGAGTTCTTCAGTTCTAGGGAGCCAATTGTCTCCCAGGAGCTGCAAAATTGGCAATCACCAAAGGGTAAGGAACCGGACACCTGCCTACTTAGAATCTTCAGTGCTATTTACTGTCCAAGACGAAGGAATTTTGATTTCCCAGGCCTATAAAAGAGTTGTAATCCTTATAGCATCAAGGATCCTGGTACTGTAGACCTACACCAGATCTGTGAAACTTGTAGAAGTAAAGATTCCACTACCTATTGTTAAATTTCTGAGGCAGCTTAGAGACACAGACAGGAAGAAGAAAAGAGACCAGTGTGACCTCAACAGATGGAACTGTTTATTTCAGTGAGGGGCAAGCACAGCAGGGAAGTAGTGTCTTCAAGAAAAAGAAGGAGAAGGAGAAGGAGGAGGAGGAGGAGGAGGAGGAGGAGGAGGAGGAGGAGGAGGAGGTAGAAGAGGAAGAAGAGGGGAAGAAGAAGAGGAGAAGGAGGAGAAGAAGAGAGAAAAAGAAGAAGAAGAAAAAGAAGAAGAAGAAGAAGAAGAAGAAGAAGAAGAAGAAGAAGAAGAAGAAGAAGAGGAAGAAGAAGGGAATATTTGGGGTTTATATAGAAGATTTGGGGAATGCAACTTCTGGGGCTACATGAAAACCTGTATTTTCTCCCTCCTGGAACTGTTTATCCAGACAAGCCTGGTTTATCTTTAGAAGCTCCCTTGCCTAGGCTATTAGGATACAGGGTCACAGTGAGCAACTGAGTTTGGTAATGCTAGGGAGGGGGATGGGACTGGAGGGTTTTCATTTGTTTTGTTTTTGTGGTTTTTTGAGATAGGATTTCTCTGCATAGCTCTGGCAGTCCTGGAACTTGCCCTGTAGAAAAACTGGCCTCAAACTCAGAGGTCTGCCTGCCTCTGTCTCCTGAGTGCTGGGATCAAAGGCATGCGCCATCATGCCTGGCAACAGACTGGAGTCTAAACATAGGGGCAGGGAATTTCAGCAAGCTTAATGGAGAAAAATTCCTAGAGTCTTGCAATGTTTGTTCAAAGTTTATTCCAACACCTAAGGGCTGCCCAAGGATCATAACACTGGCAAGGCTAGAAGTCTTGATACCGGAGACCTGAACAAGAGTTGTACCAGAGAGGGCTATCTGTAGCAAGTCTTTCTCTGTACTGCCAGCCAGCTCCCAAATAACGACATGGAGACTTCTTATTTATTATGAAAGTTTGGCCTTAGCTTAACCTCGTCCCACTAGCTCTTATAACTTAAATCAACGCATTTATATTAATCTCTATCTTGCCCTGTAGCTTTTTACCTTTCTTTCATTCTGTATATCTGACTCCCTCCATGTCTCCTTGGCACCTAGAATCATCTCCTATTCCGTTCTTTCTGCCCGAAAGTCCCGCCTATACCTCCTGCCTAGCTATTGGACATTCAGCTATTCATTAAACCAATCACAGTAATATATCTTCACACAGTGTACACATAGCCCACAACAGCTCCCACCTGCTACTGAGCCATCTGCTGCTGCCTTCTGCTGTCAAGGGTTACAGAAACTGCCAAAGGTTAGCACTGGAACAATTGCTTCTTGCCCACCTGTGGTTTCTGAGTGCAGCAAAAAGAACTCTGGCCAGCTGCTTGGAAACATTTGAGGTTGTTTGCTAGGCCTTGAAGCAAGTATTAGGGAAGCATGTTGCCGGTGGAAGTGTGAAATTGCAAAGGTACCCTAAGAACTCTTACACAATTTCTTACAGTGATAATTTTGTACTCACTTTATCAACAGATAATTCCGTTCCTAGGTATTTACTTAAAAGAAAGGAAAAACAGATATCTAGAAAACACTTTGATGATAGTGTCCATAAATGCTTTATACATAATATCTCAGAAATAGTGACAGTCTAAATCTCTATGCATTTCAATAGATAATATGATACATCCATAAATAGAACCCTAACTACCAAGGAAGTAATAAAAAACAAACAAACCTAGTACTGGATGGAATGTGGCAACTCATGCCTGTAATTCCTAGCACTTGGGAGGCTGAGGCAGGAGGATTGCCACAGCTTTTAGACTAACTTGGACTACAAAATTAGGTCTAGGTCAGTCAGAACTACATTTTACTCCATGTCTCATAAAACCAAACTAAGCCCAAACAAAAGGGGCAATATAAAATAATCATAAAACATCAGAGCCCATGTGAACAATAGTGTCCCAAACATTTTTCAAATCTTCTTCCTAGAATTTTATGTCAGGACGGCACTGTCTTTCAATGGTTTCGATTTATTCAACCACGTGAAGAAACTTCCTAGAGGTAACTAAGCTGTTCTACATGTTTACTGTGGTACTGTTCACACAGACACGTGCTTGTGAAATCCACTACATGGAAATGTAACATCCATGTAGTTACTTCAGTTTGAAAAAATAGTAGCAAGAAGTTAAAATGATGTCTGAACCTAGCAACTCTTGGTAACTCTTGCAGGGACCTTGTTATACAGAATTTTATTTAAAAGTTATCTTACTATTTCTTCATTTATGTGATGCTTAAACTCCAGAGCATTAAAACAAACCCAGGGGAAAAAAACAAAAGTAAGAAATACAATCAAAATTATAGCTCCTGTTCCTATATCCTCCTTAGTTTCCCAATCCCACAGGCATCTTCGGGTGTCAGCTTTTGTTTTTGTTTGTTTGTTTTCCTGTGAGTTCTTTCTGAGATTCAGAGGTGGGGGGGGGGGCGTGTTCTTAAAATTTGACAGCGCTGTCCTTTAAGGGTTTAAGTGCCACTTGGATGTCTGTATCCCTGATGGCTAACCTTGGATGTCCACTTGACTGGGTCTGGAATTGACTAAGAGATAAGCCTCCAATGTATAACTGTGAGGGGTTATCTAGATAAAGGCTAGCCTCTGAGAATGTGTGTGAGGGGTTATCTGGATAAAGGTGAGCCCCTGAGAAAGTGCGTGAGGGATTATCTGGATAAAGGTGAGCTCCTGATGTGTGTGAGGAGGTTTTTTTGTTTTTGTTTTTTTGATTGGGTTATTTAAAAGTGGGGTAGATCCACCTTAAATGGCATCTAATAGCAGCTGTCATAGTCACTGCTCTATTGCTGTGAAGAGACACCATGACCAAGGCAACTTATGTAAGAAAACATTCAACTGCGTTCGAGCTTACAGTTTCAGGGGTTCAGTCCATTATTATCATGGTGGGGAGCATGGCAGTGTGCAGACAGGTGCTGGAGCAGTAGCTGAGAGCTACATCCTGATCCGTAGGCAGAGAGAGAAACTGGGCCTGGCATAGGCTTTTGAAACCTCAAAACATCCCCAGTAAAACACAAAAAAACCTAAGAATTCAAATATATAAGCCTGGGGGTTTGTGGGGGAGCAGCACTCTTGTTCACACCTCCACAGCAGCCACATGTAAGGAGTTCCTAGGGAAAAGCTTTGCTTCTTGCCTGCTTGCCTTTGTGTCTCAATTTCCCCTGTTGTTGCTGCTGCTGCTGCATTTCTTTCCTGATAGAAAAAAATCCACTTTCTTCTGGCTACTGATGTGAAGACCAGGAATCCTTCCTTCACACCTTCAGCACCAGGGTGGGATTGTGGAACTATCCAGCCTCCTGGGTGAGCAGGTCCCAGTTTCTCCAGTGTGAAGGCAGCCGTTGTTGGACCATCCAAATGACACCATGTAAGCCAACCCTTTTAATGCATACTCATTCTATGGGTTCTGCTTCTCTAGAGAACTTTGAATAATACAGTATCTGAGAAAGCTTGCTGTTAAACATCCAACATCTGTTGGAATCATGTAGCATTAGAACGGTTATTAGATATGTTCATATTAGAATTGGAGATTCTATTTGACCATATCTCTGTCCAAGCCAGAGCTGCTGTGAATTTTCAAAGCATAATTTCTGGAAGGTTTTCACACTTTGCTGGACCTCCTTCGACAGTCAGTTAGAAATGCTCTTTGTGGCCAGGACTCTTGCTATTGCTAATTGCTGTTGCCATCACTTCTCTTTAAAGGCTTTTTGTAAAAAACAAAACACCCAAACAAACAAGAAATGCAAAGACATAATTCACAAGGAGGCCCAATCTCTTCCCTGTACATTGCTGAATATCAAGGGTGGTTTAGTAACTGTTTAGTTTACTTGTCACATAGGTTGGAGGAGAAACAGAAACAACAGTCTTTCTAAAGCCAATGTCTTACAATGAGGCAGGAAAGATATTCTCCCTAGTTAGTGCTAGAAGTTTACAGCCCACCACTAGAAACTGAAAGCCACACAAGGTTGTGTAGTTTTCTGGGTTCTAACATTTTCTATCTGAACTTCCTAGGAAATTCTGTGTAGCACATCCACCCTTACTACTCTTCCTTCCTGACCCGTGTAGGATTCTTAAATTTAAAAACAAGTTTGCTTTTGATAGCCTTTAACTGAAATGCTAGGGAACTACTTTTTTTTTTTTTTTTTTGCTACAGTTGCTCCATCTATACTAAGGAAGACTTGTAGATTTCAATGCAGCTGCTGCCACTTTGTACAATGAAAATGTGATTTATTAAAGAAGGAGCTTACAGACTGGAGAGATGGCTCAGTAGTTCAAAGCACTGGCTACTCTTGCAGAGGACCCTGACTCAATTCCCAGCCCCACATGGCAGCTCACAGCTACCTGTAACTCTAGTTCCAGAGGATCAGATGCCCCACTCTGGTCTCTACAGTAGGAATATTTCTCTCTTATATACTTACAATTTACCATATCTTTTGTGGCCTCCCTAAATTTGTTCCCTTCAAGACACCTTTGTTCTCCTCTCCACCTACAAAGGCAGAAACAAACCCCAGTTCCTTCTTTCTCTGCTCACACAGCATCACACACCATCAGGCCATCACATACCACCAGGCCATCACACAGCATCACACAGCATCACACAGCATCACACAGCATCACACACTATCACACACCATCAGGACAGTACACAGCATCACACACCATCGCACACTATCACACACCACCAGGCCATCGCACAGCATCACACAGCATCACACAGCATCACACACTATCACACACCATCACACACCACCAGGCCATCACACAGCATCACACACCATTGCACACCATCAGGCCACCACACAGCATCAGACACCATCGCACACTATCACACAGCATCACACACTATCGCACACTATCACACACCATCACACACCACCAGGCCATCACACAGCATCACACACCATCACACACTATCACACACCATCACACACCACCAGGCCATCACACAACATCACACAGCATCACACAGCATCACACACCTTCACACACCATCACACACCATCACACATCATCAGGCCATCACACACCATTAGGCCATCACACAGCATCACACACCATCACACACTATCACACAGCATCAGGCCATCGCACACCATCAGGCCATCACACAGCATCACACAGCATCACACACCATCGCACACTATCACACACCATCACACACCACCAGGCCATCACACAACATCACACAGCATCACACAGCATCACACACCTTCACACACCATCACACACCATCACACATCATCAGGCCATCACACACCATTAGGCCATCACACAGCATCACACACTATCACACAGCATCAGGCCATCACACACCATCAGGCCATCACACAGCATCACACAGCATCACACACCATCGCACACTATCACACACCATCACACACCATCAGGCCATCACACACCATTAGGCCATCACACAGCATCACACACCATCACACAGCATCGCACACCATCACACACCATCACACAGCATCGCACACCATCATACGCTATCACACACCATCAGGCCATCACACAGCATCGCACACCATCACACACCATCACACGCCATCAGGCCATCACACAGCATCAGGCCATCACACACCATCAGGCCATCACACAGCATCAGGCCATCACACACCATCACACAGCATCGCACACCATCATACACTATCACACACCATCAGGCCATCACACAGCATCGCACACCATCACACACCATCACACGCCATCAGGCCATCACACAGCATCACACAGCATCACACGGCATCAGTGAGGGGTTTGCAGCCTCTGGCTCAGAAGCATTTCTTCATGGTTGGCAGTCCCTCTTCACTAACTTTTGCTGTTCTCTGTACTGTCTCTTGTTTGTCGCATTGCTGCTTCCTTCCTCTACTGGGGTCTTGCTTTTCACAGCTCTCTACCAGATTTGTCTTTAAAAGCAAACGTTCCTCATTATTCCATTTCTTCCTTGCCTGTTCACAAAGCAATGTAGTCAGCCATGTCATCTACCTCCTTGCCTGGATCCTCCCCTTAATTATTCCTCTAGTCTGGGGAAGTCCTGCAGGCCTTTTTATTGTTATTGGTTTAAAATTGTATTTTATTTTATGTTTCTGAGTGTGGTAGTTTGATTGTTATTGCCCCCCCATAATCTCATAGGGAGTGGCACTATTAGGAGGTGGGGCTTTGTTGGAGTGGGTGTGGGTTTGTTGGAGGAAGTGTGCTACTGTGGGGGTGGGCTTTGAGGTTTCCTATGCTCAGAATACCATCCAGTGTTTCAGTTGACTTCCTGTTGCCTGTAAGATGAGGAACTCTCAGCTCCAGCACCATGTCTGCCTGCACACTGCCATGCTCCCCACCATAATGATAATGGACTGAATTTCTGCAACTATAAGTAAGTGGCTCCAATTAAATGTTTTCTTTATAAGATTTGCTGTGGTCATGGTGTCTCTTCACAGCAATAAGAACCCTAACTAAGACAACGAGTATTTTACTTGCATGTATCTATGAGTACCACATGTATGCTTTGTGCCCCCAGAGGTCAGAAGAGGGCACTGGATTCCCTGGAACTGGAGTGAGAGATGGTTTTAACTGCCACATGGACCCTTGGGTCATCTGCAGGAATGGTAAGTTCTCTTAACCACTGAGCCATGGATCTAGTCCTTCCTTTTAAGTTAAAATGCTGTGTCTATTAGGAGTGGTCCCCAGGTATATGTCTACCAAATTGTGTGTGTGTGTGTGTGTGTGTGTGTGTGTGTGTGTGTGTGTGTGTGTGTGTGTGTCTTGGGCTAACTTCTTGCTTTATCTCAGTGGTTATGTCCCTCTGAACCCTCTAAGTGGATTAACCCATCTATGCTGCCCATAACTCTTAAACCTGGGAACAGCTACTCATACTTAGTTAGCTTTTCCCCATATCCCACCTGACTTAATTTGAGGACCTCTCTCCTTCATTCTGATGCATATCCCCACTCCTCCCCTGTTCAGAGCTCATCCTATTTGTACCCTGGTATCTGAACTCTGGTTCTTCAGCAGTCACTCACAAATTGTGTATTGTGTACCATCTATATACCCAGAACTGTTCTATGCACTGGAGACACAAAATAATGAACAAAACACATAAAGTATGCCTTTTAAAACTACAAACAAAACAGAATAGAGAGCTCTGCTTGCATCCAGAGCACAGAGCCTGTCAGAGTGCACATGTAGGTTGCTGTCTGTTCTTTGTGTGCTCTAACACAGCCTTCTGAACCAGTCTTCCACATTTGAATCATCACTAACCTGGACTTTGGGTCACATGAACCTCATTGGAATCTGTTGATAAGCAACAAGAAGGCTGGTTTTGCCGTAGTCAGAAGGTTTCTCGGGTCCTGCCCAGCTCTGAGGTCAGGATGAATCTCTCCCATCCACATCCCACAGCTGCTTATAAAATAATCACTCAGAGGCTTAATATTATTTACAAACTTATGGCCATGGCCTATGACTCAAGCTTCTTGATAGCTAGCTCTTATAACTAAACCCAGCCCATTTCTATTAGTCTATATGTCACCACATGTTCTGTGGCTTTACCTGTGTACCATTACATGCTGCTCCCTGGATGGCGGGATGGTGTCTCCTCTGCCTCTGCCTTTCTTCTTCCTGTGTATCTGCTTGGATTTCCTGTCTGCATCTAAGCTGCCTTGCCATAGGCCAAACAGCTTTATTTATCAACCAATCAGAGCAACACATATTCACAGCATACAGAAAGACATCCCATAGTACACTACAGACATATAATTTGGCCTGTGTTGATCCTACACTGTCTTCTATGCCAAGGATCAAGATTCCATGATCTCTGGTCTCAGTCACTCTCATCCCTGCAAAAGCCACATGTACTCACAAAATTAATTCATATTAGCACATTTTCTGTGCTTATTGCAGCAATGTGATCTTTAATTCAACTTTAGAAGCTTCATTTTCATTAATTCAAATATAGAGTTTGTTAGTGACAGATGGTCCAACCAGTACTTCTACATGGTGTTAGGTGAGTTGTTTGGAGTCCTGGTTTGTGAGACTAGCTTTCCTATACAAGTGGGAGTGACTAGTGGATAGTTTGGCTGACCTGACCCATGATGGACTGTGAGGTTCTTGCCCAATTTCTACCTATAACAGCAGCTCTGTGTTAGTGAATGCTGCTGGAAAGGAGGTGTCTGCTGCTCACATGTGTGTGTCCTCTTGACCAAGAGCTGCAGTGGTCATTTAGAGATAATTACTCTGAGAGACCCCTAGTGTCTTCATTGACTGGATAATTCAAACAGACCCCAGTACTTCTGTGACTGCCATGAAGCATGTGAACCAGACCAAGAAGCTGGTACAGGTATGAGTGGAAATAGATCCTTTATAAATGTGACAGACATCATGAGACAGAAAATATTGAACAGAGCAGTGCTTGACATGGTTAAGAGAATTAGAGTACCAGGTCCCCATATAAACATATTTCCTTTTCATTATAAATGTCAATTATGGAATGGGAAATATTTATGTTAATACTATGCTAGACCTGTGAAGTAATATTCTAATGATGTAAAAATCTTGATATCAAGGCAGAAACCAGCAGGCCTTAAAACGGTCACAGGGGAGCACAGCAAAAGTCCCCCTAAACAGTACACTGATGGACCTATGTTCTTCAAACAAAGTGACAAGTTGAAAGTTTTCTGTTTTTAGAGTTCTTGGCTTACACATCCTTACCTCATC